CATCTACCGTGGCCCGCTCAGCAAGCCAATCCACTCGTTCATTCCCTCTTACACTAGAGCAGCCTGGCACAAAAATGGAAACTGATTCCGGTCAGATGATATTTCCTCAGAAACTCCAACCATTGTCTTCAAACCCATCCTGTCTCAATCGTCATGGAATTACTTAGAAAAACGCATGGGAAAAAGTATATATCTCTAGCCGCATTATTACTTTTGTATTAATCAAGGATGTAAATGTCTGTGGCTTAGGCGTTGCGAACGCGCTTCGTAATGCCGAGGTGCCAGGTTCGATCCCTGCTGCGGACGGTTTGTCCTGCGATGGTTTTGACCGTGGTACCGAGAGCCGACCGTTCAGTAGCAATGGCAAACTACTGGACATAAATTTGACTTTAAAAAACCACAACTGCCAGAAAGTGCTGCGGTTGGTTCTGCAACGTCCTGTAAAGGATACGCAACTAATTTTAATTCAAGTGGGTGGATAGGCAGTTAATCAAATGTGTAGCTAGGTAGGTAGATATGTAAACATGTATGCATGTAAGCAAGTCAACATGTATGTTCTTATCAGAGCATGCTAAACCATTTACGGACATCCATTTCTTTCCTGTAAACCAACCTCGGGTGAGATTCGCTGTATCGTAACCATCTCTCAGCCTCATTTCTAAGCAGCTACTTATCAGACATAACCACCCCAAACTTTTGCAATACTTGGTTGATCTTCCAAAATGGAGGCTTAGGCTATAATACGGGGAGAAAAACCAGCCTACGGTTGTAGGTTATGTAAGACTCGCTCGAAGTAAATTGTATTATTTTAAGTGGCATATTGCGATCAAAGGAAGGCAGTAGCTGAAGAGGCTAGCAGCGACATAGCTGGGCCACGCATGCAGGTAATCACTTAATGTTGTCAATTTGAATGGCTAGCTTACGATAAAATACACAGTAAGTACCGGCTGAAAGTAGAGATAAATGAATGAATAGATAATTGGACAGACGGAAAAACGGTCACACACAAAGACAGAGATTAGACGTCTGGGTGGACAGATGGATGGATAATAGATGGCTGGATGTGTAGATGGATGGATGGCTGATAGATGTACACAATGCAGTCGGACAGGCATCAGTTGACATGACTGCAGATAGATTGTCAAGTAAGTTGTCAGCAGGTAGGAGGTAGATTGCCAGTCGAACAGCTAGATAGGTAGTTTGATAAGCCGGCTCTATTTGATTTGTTGATTGTTTCCCTTTGTTTAGTAGTTAGCTTTTAAAATCAGTTTGTTGAATAGCCAGCCCTGTGTGGACTTCTAGCTATTTCCCCTGTCCGTGGGTGGTAAGATTGGACGCCCGTGCGTATTGTTACGGAGGTTAAAAAAAATCCCTTTTTCTTCTTCTTTACGTCCTCTTTCATCGCTTCGGGTGTCGAGGGAGACATAAGGTCATGCTTCGTGCTTTTCTGGCTGCTTCGACAAAAGACACATGGTGCTACTGTAGATACTTGGCCAGCTTTACTACATCGCATGTTAATTTTTCTACGTTTAATTTACCAGCTTCAGTGAATGTTGTTCCAAGATATTTAAACTCAGATGCCTGTTTAATATATGTTTGCTATAATGCTATGTTTAAATCCTGTTTCTTTCTTCCTCTTGACATAACTTCTGTCTTTTCGATGTTGATTCTCATGTTATTTCTTCTTCTTCTTCTTGTTCACCGGCTGTGAATTCCGGCGGTAAGTCGCGGTTGTTCGTCCAAAATGGACTTTTGGCTTTTACCTTGACCTGAGTTTTGCGTGTACATCCGTTTTACTGGCTTATTTGTTTGCAGTACTCGTTCCCCGCCTCTCCGGCAGATGTACTCCGACTTCGGAGGAAGACGTCAAGCCTATTTCTAGGTTGACTGTGGCCATTGTTTTGTGTGGGTCGAGATGTTGCCTCATTTGTGTGGTGTCCTCTTTGACTTTTAACAGGTGTGGCCCCCGGCATGTCGTCCTTAAGGCAGCTCTATGTAGAGTTTTCAGCCCTCAAGGGAAGGCAGGGGCAGATCATAGGCATTCCCCGCCATCCAAGGAGGCTTCCATAAATGCAGAGCCGACACATGATGCTCTGGTTCTGGGCTCACCCAAGGAATCGTCACGTCCTGCCCATGACTGCTTAACCTCACAACCGTGTATTGAGCTTCCCGCGCTACAAGGCTGCGCTCTCCGGAGAACAGCGGGGAGCAGCCCGCAGGTCTAGGACGTTTGTGGCCACACAAATAGGTACATTCTTTTTCATCTTACGTTAGACACCTTTAACGTTGTTTCAGCTGTGCCCTTAGCACGACAAAATTGGGAAGCAAAATGCGTCAGACGTGGCTTCACCTGTTTGGTCCCAACACTCGGGCGAGTTGGACCAGTGGATACGGACATTCGGACTTTTTCCTAATCGGTACGAATTATGATCGTCGGACTCTGAGCTTGCATGTGTGCCGTGGGGTATAACTTTGTCGGACATTATTTCCAAACCAGCATATGAAAAGTTGCTGCCGTGGTGTACCTCAGCGCGGTGACGACGACACTGAGGATTGACAGAGGATGTACGTAGGTAGGATCTTGCTGCGAGAAGTCGCCCACAAGAGATGTTACTCGTCTTGGCTGCGGGTAAATCTCTCGGTCAGGGTTGAGTCTCAGCAGCACAAGTTTTAAATTCCCTCCCGAATTTTAACCAAGAGTTGTCATTTGATGATGGTACATTTAGCAAGCAATTTTGAGTTTTGTTAAACTTTTCACCCATGTGTTTGGGGGCGGGCTGGTGAGAGCCAGAAAGGACACTACACCTCTGGGGGCCGTCAGCTCCGAGATCCCCTGCCAACTCTGTTAATGCTCATTTGAGACATTATCCGTGGCGCACAACAGGAGTCTTGCATGAGGTTCCGTAAAACCAGAACAGTGAAGGACTGGCGCCCGAGTGGGGTACGGAATATCTCCTTATACACCTCACATCAGACTTAACTTTGCCTCATGCCTGTGACCGAAATCACCGCGCCACTCATGTTATTTGATTCAAATTCTTCATTCATGGATATGAGATGCTGTTGCAATTTTATAGCTGTATATAAAAAATCCCTTGGCAGTTGGAAATAAAATTTAAAAAAAAAAACGGGTAGCTTAACGGAAATCTACCCAAAAAGTATATCAGGATCCTCGCCGGTGCAACGAAGTTCGTTCATTGCGCCGAGATTCTTCACACTCATGCTTGAGTAAGAAGTAGAACGGAATCTTATGGGTTACATGGGTAAACTTACTGGTAAACATAAACATAACGAGGCATTACAGGCGAAGAGAAAAGAAGTTGATTGGCAGGTATTTAGTAAGTAGGTTGGTCAGTTGTTTAGATACTTGGTCGTTTGTCAGGTTAGTTTGCATATAGGTTAGGTGGATATACACTGGGTCAATAGCTAGCTGGTTGGAATTCAGAGCAGGAGGATAAAGTTGTAGGGGAATGAGAGTACAGAGCGTGTCTGCACATTTCCCAGCATGCTTTGTGAGTCAGATACAATCACGACATGTTTATGCAGCTCCAGCCAGGAAAAAACTGCTGTGACTGCCTCCAACACCATTATCAAACAAGATGTAGTATCGTATTATATCGTCGTTCATTCCCTTTGGCAATAAACCCCCATACCCATAGATATCTGTACAGACAGTCAGACATCGCCTGGGCGGTAATTGTCATAAATCAATTGTTCAGTTTCTAATTCTGCAGTGCCTGCTGGTCAGTCCCTGCTCTGCCGGCCAAGTGTGTCTAGAAGCCTACACAAGTCTGATTTTCGCAGTGACACTTTGACCCATTCCTGTCCTATCCAAGGTTTTTTTTTTCCCCAGGTATCCACAACGTTATTATTATTATTATTTTTTTTTTGTTACATCAGTTTTTCCACGCCATGATGTCTAAATAGGCGTCCCATTCCCTGCATTTTATTACTAAATCTATCCATCGCTTTGTAGGACTGAGCCTCGAGAGGCAGGGGGTAAGAAGTGTTGGTGTTGTGGGTAGTGGGTCCCCCCCCCCCTTACTTTACCCTAGGTCTAGTGAATATCTGTTCACGAAAGGAGCGTCCATTGTGGTGTCAGCCTCTTGACCTAGCAAAACCTCTCTTACCTCAAGACCATTGTGCGTGGCGAAGAGTCACAGCCTCCCCGAGGTAGTCCTGGTAACTGGGGGTGCTAATCCCCAGGCAAAACACAATGGATCTAGAGGAGCAAACCTCGATAATAAACCCGGTGCACCACACCGTACTGCCCCCTGTGGGAGGGAAGGAGCCAGAGGTGTGCTGAACAGTCTTAGGAATGGAAACAAGTATGCTAACCCCCCTGAATACCGGAAACTATCGTGAAGGCACAGGGACTCAGGACGTGACGATCCAGTTGCCCCAACTACTCATGCTTAGGCCATGCTTAGAGCCATGAAGGGCTCAGCGAAACCTGCAGGCAATCTGGTGGCGGGGAATGAGCACACTGTGAGCCCCACCTTAGCTACGTGTTAAAGGGGAAGGCAGAAACACAACCCATATTTCCTTTAGAACTGGTACAGGGCATTTCTAGCTGCTGCCCGGGGAGGTAGGTAATCCACAGATACCCCAGCACCACAATGCCATGAATATGACAACAACAATCCATCCCTTTGTAGGATGCAATTTTTCGTTATTTGAAGCCATACTTTGGCTCTTGCCAGGGGCCGCAAATACAGCTATGCCATAAATATGGACTAATGGATGAACGCGGTTTCTGGGACCTCTCCACTGGTGATCTTCATCCACATGGTGGCACTTTGTGTCATCGGGTGTTTGTCGCTTGTGTGATGTCCTGATGGTGTGAAAGAAGATAGATAGAGATGCATCTATCCCGTTAGCACAACCAACTCTACTTTTTTCCCCTTAGCAGGATCCAATAGCTTCTATTCGAGATTGTAATTGTACGATTGAAGGTCCGTCTCTACGAAGACAGAAGTGAAAAATTGCAGGCGACAAAGATGGCGGCACCTACAGTTGAGAACGCTAGGGAGAAGGCTTTAGGAGATTATCGTAAAAAGCTTCTAGAACACAAGGAATTAGAAGCTCGCCTTAAAGAAAGTAAGTACAAGTATACTTCTCTGAATGTTTGTTGTTTTCTTTCTTTAATGGGGCGATTATTAATTAAATTGTAATCGTCTGTGAGACTCAATTTTAGCTTTATCATTGAGTTGCCAGTTATCGATAATGATGTGTCTGTTACTGTTACCGTTATGTATGTTATCTAAGCTATTTTCCTGCCCCTCGAAAAGTGCAGTTCTAAACTCTGCTGGCACACATTTGTATCTGTTAGCCGCGGTAACCACACAGCCTGATACGGGAGCACTGTTACATTAAGTGGCTTGGTAATTACTCCTCTTTATACATACAGATAGAACTATCATCAGGGAAGGCTCGCTCATTCATGGGCCACTCAAACATCCAACCAAGACCTATAACAGATTGCAACGAACCGCCATGCATGGAGAGTCATGACCTCTGCCCTATGTGCCGCACTCGACACAAGAGGAAAGACTAACTAACTAACTAATACATACAGTAGATGAGTATATACAATAGTACAGCACAGCCAGAGGAAGTGGCATTGAGTAAGAGTTGACCCACCCTGACCAGCTGTTACTGTTACTGACATGAAAAGAATAGTCTGTCATCCAGTCATCATCATCATAGTCTTACATTAACTCATTACTGACACTGTTAGCAACATAAGTCCAGACAAGTTTCTTCTTTTCATATTACTGCCCTGTTGTGCCATTATATCATTATAATGAATAATGACATATAGGGCACACTTTCTTAGTCTCAGACGCTTAGTCACTCTGTTCTTCCATTGAGTTCAGTCTTGTGCAGAATCAGTCATAGGATAGGTGGTGAATCTCCAGGTTGACTCCATAATCTTTGGCTTCCTTCTATTCAGTGTTCATCTTAGGGTTTCTCTTAGATCTCCTTGTTTCCTCCGTACCTCTGTTTCCCATTTCATTGCCTGTTTTGATATTGTGTTCATCTCTTCTGAAAATATGTTCAGCATAGCACTGTCTTCTGTCTTTTAATTGTTGATACTGTAGTTGATTCAAGATCTCATGAACACATTAGCAAGCCATTTTCTATAAAACTGCCTGTTTATATCAGCCATGTCCATGCACCATTGTTTATATCGGCCATGTCCATGAATCGTTGTTTATGTCAGCCATGTCCATGCACCATTGTTTATATCAGATGTGTCCATGCCCATGAACTATTGTTTATATCAGCCGTGTCCATGCCCATAAACTATTGTTTGTATCAGCCATGTCCATGAACTGTTGTTTATATCAGCTGTGTCCATGTCCATGCACCATTGTTTATATCAGCTGTGTCCATGTCCATGAACCATTGTTTATATCAGCCGTGTCCATGTCCATGCACCATTGTTTATATCAGCCGTGTCCATGTCCATGCACCATTGTTTATATCAGCCGTGTCCATGTCCATGCACCATTGTTTATATCAGCCGTGTCCATGTCCATGCACCATTGTTTATATCAGCCTGTATATGCACCGTTGTTTAAATTAGCCCTGTATATGCACCGTTGTTTATATCAGCCGGTCCATGCACCGTTGTTTAAATTAGCCCTGTCCATGCACTGTTGTATCAGCCATGTCCATGCTTCTTCCAGCATTTGTTGGTGCATTACTTGTCACTCAGTCCTGCTCTTTCATCAGTTTCATCTTTGCATGTCCAGATGTGTAGATCCTGGTGAGGGAGGATAAGTGTGACTTCCAGATGCTTTCTGCTCATTTAGAGCAAACATTGCTTGTTGTGATTTTCTGAAGAGTGGTTATGTAGTCCTGGTATAATTACTGCATGTGTGGCAACTTGTTCTGCTTCCCATGCGGGTGCTCTGGGAGCAGCAGCATCAGCGGTTATCTCTGTGGTCATGCTTGACCAAGTTGCCTGGTAAGTGCCACCATCCTCTTGTAGTGTTTTCCCCCATCCATTGTACCGTGTATGCCCATGCTGACCTTGACCTGTGCTTGACAAACTTATCTGTATAGATTATGATGACTTGTGGACGTCAATACTGATCTGTCACTGCCCTTATGTCTCCATCTTGTTGGGGGGGGGGGGGGGGGGGGCAGTGATTCTATTTTTTGTACCCTAGAGCCCACATGTGGACGTGCTATATTAAATTCTGGAGACACCTCTTTTGCTATGCTACTCATTTTTGGTCATCAATAGCCTTATGCATGAATGCTGAATATCTGCTGATAGCCTCATGCACCAGGACATATCACATGCTGTTGTATGAAGTAGTGTCTTGTGTGCAGCTAAGTATGAGTCTCATGGCCTCATTTTGTACTCGGTGCAGTCTGTCTATCTGGGTTCTGCTGACAGACAGACAGGAGGCCCAGACCTTAGTTGAGGCTTGATAGAGAAGGACAAGTAGGCCTTTGCTCACTCTCAGCTCCTGCCATCAACTTCATGTGGGGTTAGAGTTGCCTCACTGTGAATATTTGTGTTTTTTCCTAGTGAGAGAGAACCTCAAGGAGTTAACCAAGCAGTATGACAAGTCAGAGAATGATCTGAAAGCCTTGCAGAGTGTCGGACAGGTAATTCATACACCTTTCTTACAACATACTTCTTTCTCTTCTTTTGTGTCCTCTTCTCGTCTTCCACTGTTTGTCTTCTCCCCCTCCGCCCACCCCTCTCTCTTCTCCTGCTGCTGCTCCTCCACTTCTACAAACACAAAAAAAACTGTCAAATTAATATGTCTAATAAAAATGTCTTCTTTCCATTTCTTTTTTTAGTTACCAGAGTAGCTTACAGTCTTGACAGTTGTGTCCTCTTATCTGCCCCAGGATGTCAAGCAGCTGACAATATTTCTACTGTTCTTATCTCTCAAATGTTGTGGATTTGTTCAGTTGTCTCTTCTCTGCTGCTGTGTAACGATTCACAAACAAAACAGGCACTTAGCAGTTTTTGGCTATATGATGCACAGAGAAGAGTTGCAAGTAGTTGTGACAGCTGGAGAGATTGAAGAAGGCAGGGAAAGAAGATTGGCAAAATTTTGTCGTGACCTGGAGGAGTGTTAGCACACTACTTGATGCTTGTCGTTGGGGATCACAGCATGTGGAGCAGGATGATTGCCCACACCGTGTGGCAAAGCATTTGATTGTGATGGTCTTGTTTAGGTTTCCCTCTACTGCTGAAGATTTTAAGTGTTTCTCTTTTGCCCTTCAGTGTTGATGGACTGTCTAATCATGTTGAATATATTATTTTTTTACCCTTCGGTGTAGAAGCACCTTATAGTCCTGTTTATTACCCTTCGGGTGTAGAGGTACCTTCTAATCGTGTTGAATATCTTATTTTCCACCCTTAATTGTAGATGCACCTTAAGACTTTGTTTAAGATTTCCTCTTCTACCTTTGGTTTTAAATGCATCTAATGACCGTGTTTGAACATTTTCTCTTCTACCCTTGGGTGTAGCTGGGGCATCAAAACAGCCATTACTGCTTTTAGGCTATAGTACCTGGGGGAGATGGTGGGTGAGCCTGGTCGGGGCAGTGGGCATCAATTGTTCAGTTGTAATTTTATTTTAGCCCTTCAACAGAAAAGATCTGTCGCCTTAGTGAGGATTGGTAGCTGGGTCTCCTGAATGAGAACTCAGCATGCTTCTGTTCTGCAAGCCATTCACATAGGACTTCTGTTCTGTCAGCCATTCACATAGGACTTCTGTTCTGTCAGCCATTCACATAGGACTTCTGTTCTGTCAGCCATTCACATAGGACTTCTGTTCTGTCAGCCATTCACATAGGACTTATCATCTCGTTTAATCTTTCTCTTCTATCCTGAGGTGTAGCCATAAACAATTATACCCCACGTCATGTTTTTAAATCTGGAAGATAATGAATTGTGTTGCTGTCATCCTCAGATAGTCGGAGAAGTCTTGAAACAGCTTACAGAGGACAAATGTAAGTCCTGTTGATTCTCTGCTAAGATAGAAAGCTTAACATTCTTTGATAACAGTTTATTATTGTTTTTTTTTTCATTCATGGGTAGGCCTAAAATAGGTAGCAGTAAACATACTGGGAAGTTAAGGCAGCCAGCTTGATTCTGCCCACACAATCTGTTGTCAGTTGATCTTTACAGACATGGGCCAGTTTTGTATGCTAATTATGTTACAGTTTATGACTGGCACATCAGGTGAAAATAGTTTTTAATGTTAGAAATGAATTGAGTGTTTTTGATTGAATTATTACAATGCTGGTTTGTCTTCCTGCTTCCTGCTACAGAAGCTGAGATATTTTGGCCATAGTTAAGTATCATTGTGGCCTGGAGATATCACTGGTAGAGAGTGCAGTTTCTGGTAAACAAACCTTCGCAAAGCTGGATACTAGTCATTTAAAATGCATCGGCTAAGAAAGCACATAGGGCTGGAAAATTGGCTCGAGAAACCATTTTGTGAAAGGGTAAAGGGCAAATGATTAGGTATGTTTCCTACGAAGTCGCAGTGCACCGCCTGAGAAGCAAGACCGTAGCAGTCTGTATACAAATAAGTCAGATCTTGGAAATGAATGAGCACTCATAACTTAAGTTCTGAATAAAGACCAGTCAAGAAATGTGCAGACAAGCAGAACTTTCCATCAGAGTTTACAGCTGGTGAATGTGAAGAAGAAGATATCTGCTTGATCCATTGATGGAACCTTCACAGTAACCACAGAACCAGCCAGAGGCTCTGCCTTGTCCATTTAGTTTGATACCAGTTTGTCCTGGCAAAAAAATTAACAGTTTCTTCTTCTTATACAAGCAATTGCTTGTTCTTCTGGTCAACTTAACTTTAGACACATCATACCGTTGTAGAGTTTCTGTCATGTTATCTTTTCACCTTGTTCTTCTGGTCACCCCAACCATAGACACATACCGTTGTAGAGTTTCTGTCATGTTATCTTTCCACCTTTTTTTTCTGGTCACCCCAACCATAGACACATCATACTGTTGTAGAGTTTCTGTCATTTTATCTTTCCCCCTTGTTCTTCTGGTAACCCCAACCATAGACACATCATACCGTTGTAGAGTTTCTGTCATGTTATCTTTCCACCTTGTTCTTCTGGTCACTCCAATCATAGACACATCGTATTGTTGTAGAGTTTCTGTTATGTTATCTTTCCACCTTGTTCTTCTGATGACCTCAACCATAGACACATCATACTGTTGTAGAGTTTCTGTCATTTTATCTTTCCACCTTGTTCTTCTGGTCACCCCAACCATAGACACATCATACTGTTGTAGAGTTTCTGTCATGTTATCTTTCCACCTTGTTCATGGAAGTTTTCTTCTGGCTGCCACATGAAGTTTTGACCACTTCGTTATCTCAAACATTCATATCCTGGATCGCAATCCAGCAAAGCTAATTCCAGATACCTTGTTTAACATCCACATAATTTAGAGTTTGGGCATATGAGTAGGAATGTCTGGGTAACTACTAGTATCAGCACTTAAAAGGCAGAGAAGATGACGCTCTAGTGGACACACTCTGAAGGGGGAATGAGTGAAAAATCACCAGACAGACACAGAGATGGAGGGGGTGGAGGAAACGAGAAGTCCAAGAGAAACCCTATGACATTAGCTCTCAACCTTCCTAAAGCCGCGACCCTTTGAAACAGTTCCTCGTGTTGTGGCGACCCTTTGAAACAGTTCCTCATGTTGTGGCGACCCTTTGAAACAGTTCCTCATGTTGTGGCGACCCTTTGAAACAGTTCCTCATGTTGTGGCGACCCTTTGAAACAGTTCCTCATGTTGTGGCGACCCTTTGAAACAGTTCCTCATGTTGTGGCGACCCTTTGAAACAGTTCCTCATGTTGTGGCGACCCTTTGAAACAGTTCCTCATGTTGTGGCGACCCTTTGAAACAGTTCCTCATGTTGTGGCGACCCTTTGAAACAGTTCCTCATGTTGTGGCGACCCTTTGAAACAGTTCCTCATGTTGTGGCGACCCTTTGAAACAGTTCCTCATGTTGTGGCGACCCCCAACCACACACGTATTTTCGTTTGCTACTTCATAACTTCAATAAATGTGTTTTGCGATGGTCTTTGGCAACCCCTGTGAAGAAGAAAAAGGTTGCGGCCCACAGTTTGAGAACCCCTGCCCTAAGGTGAACATTGATAAAAGAGACCATAGGTACTGGACTAGATTCACCCATGGTATCGGAATGTTTGCACAGGATAAAAATGGGATGGGGAAATAAACTGCAGGCCTATGTGACATGAAATGGCCCAGATGGACAGTGAATAAATATGAATACTAAATCTGTCATGTTTCATTTATTATGCCAGCTTAAGAGTACAAAATCTGTCATATGTCTGTCAACATTACATGCTGTTTATTAACCTTTTATATTTCAGTTATTGTGAAGGCCACTAATGGACCACGCTATGTTGTCGGCTGCCGGCGGCAGCTAGACAAAACCAAGCTGAAATCTGGGACACGAGTGGCACTGGACATGACTACTCTGACCATCATGAGGTTGTCTTGTGTTGTCTGTTGTCTGCTGTAGATTGACAGCGTCTTAATTTTGTTGTTGCCATTATAAATTCATTCACTGATCCCCACTGTGTTTATTTTATTGTTGTCAACTATATATTCACGTGAATGCGTGTCTTATATAGCTTTTCTCTTGTGTGGGTTCCGGGACCCCATTGTAGGGAAAACAAAAATAGATCTATTGCCTCCCTAACAAGCATGTTGTACGAGTAGACTAATTAGGGACTTCCTTCGAAGTCGTAGTGCATCCCCCCGAGTGGCAAGGAACAATCAACTGCACACAAATAAGCCAGTAAAACGGATATGCATGCACAACTCAGATCCTGGCACAAGCCAAAGTCCAGGTGGATGAAAAACCTGGACTTTCATCTGGAGCTGGGTGCCGGTGAACAGAGAAGAAAAAATATATCTGTTTGTTATACACTCTCAGCGATTGTTGTTGTGTTCTCTGCAAGAGAGATCTTGTATTTTGCTTTGTTTGATTGTTTTCTCCTGGAGGAAAACAAATACTTCTCGAATGAAGTACATTATGTGCTCGGTACACTGGACACTGCAGACTCAATAAACACTCACATAAATTAGGTATGAGCCAAACAGCTCTCTGCCAGTGCCTTCGTGCTGAACAGACTCCAGAACATGTCCTGCAAGACTGTCCTCTCCGGGCGGAGCTGCGGAGCGACATATGGCAACACCCAGTAGAACTGACAACTAAGCTTTGGGGAACCTAAGAGACCTTGAAAAGACATCCCAGTTTATGACCCACAGTGGATTATGCGCATGACCAGAGATCGCTGAAGTTGTGCTCGGTACACCCTTGAACAAGACAAAAATCTTGTTTCAGTATTACACCGAGACAACCTTGAAAAAAACTAAAGAGACCTTGAAAAGGACCTTGAAATTGATTGGTAAATGTGGCTATGAACCCTGTTCTCCATGCCTTCAGGATTATTGGGCATATAGGGCTAGACCTGTATTTTATCAAACGATTGGAACTTGGTGGGTGATGTGGTCAGCATCTTGCCAGCCGCCTTAGCTTCCCAGGACGCCACATGGTAGCAGTTTAGTGTTGGGTTGACCTGGGAGCCAAGGTCATTTTTGAAAAACCCGCCACCTTCCAATCTGCAGGCGAGTGTCTCGATGCACTACATTGCAGCGACTACTTCCTGGAGTAGACGCGCAACATGTTTTCCCCCAGGAAAGAAATAGTGAGGGTCATCCTAGAAACATGTTTCCCTGTGGGATCCTGACCAACGTTATTAGGATCGATGTTTCCTCCACCGGTGGAGTGCATCAGCCATGAGTCTAGGACTAACAGTCTGCACACAAATAAGCTAGTTTCTTTGAAACAGATGTGCACACAACACTGCTAAAAACAAATGTGCACACAAAAGACTCCTAAAACACGACCCAGTCCAGGAGTGGACAAACAACCAGGACTGTCCAGTGGAGTTTACAGGTTAAGAACACAGAGAAGAAAAGAATATAATGGGGGGAAAAGCAAGATTATATTAAGTAGTAAAACATTGGACAGATTATCTAATGAACTGATTCATCTACCAGGTACCTGCCTCGGGAAGTGGATCCGTTGGTTTACAACATGTCCGTGGAGGACCCCGGAGATGTCTCGTTCAATCAGATTGGTGGTCTTGGTGAACAGATTCGGGAACTACGAGAGGTGGGTTCTCTCTCTGTCACCACTTGTTTGATACATCTAGATATTATCATACCCCTTCCCAACTTTACCCATTTTTTGGGTCAGAAACAACATGTGTAAGGTTGCATGAATTTGGAAAACCCCCCTCCCCTTTCATTAAAAAAAAAAAATTATAGCAAGAGTACACCATACTTAGAACCAGTATGCTACTGGAACAGTCAGCATCGGAATTTTCAGAGATTTGCTGCAGGAGATGGATCATCTGTGGCTTTGCTCCGTATACTCTGATGGCAATTCTTAAAATGGTAATCTTCTTCTTCTTCAGCAATTCGAGCCCTTGAGGTTCTTTGCCGCAGATATCACCTGCCTCCACTCATCTCTCTGGTTGGCCTTCTCTTTCCAGTTGTTAAATCTAAGTGTTTGTATGTCTGTTTGGATATTATCTCTCCATCGTCTTCTTGGTCTGCTTCGTGTTCTACAATATTTATTCAGTTTCCTTATGGACACAGTTTTTACAGTTCGATTATCTGACATTCTCTGTTTGCCCCAGCCATTTCAGTCTATCAGTCCTCATCATGACAGTGGTCACCGGTGATTTAAACAGATTACGAATTTCGTTGTTGCTTCTCACACTCCATTCCTGTTTGCATCTTTGATGGGTCCAGAAATGCGTCATAATCGGAAGGGGGGGGGGGGGTATTTAAAAAACACAACACTCTCTATAAGTAAATTATCTTTCATTTATCACTTTATAAATAAGCAAGTAAAGAACCTTTTTCATCTGATTGGTGCATTTGACATATAGTGCCCATATTTTGACAGACCAATTGGCGGTCAAGTGGGTGATATGTTGAACACCAGGCTGACTTTAGCATCCGGGTCAGTTTTCAAACTTCATGCGTTGGGAATTAGCGCCTGAAGCAACCGGCCAGCATCCAGCTGCTGGACAACCACCATCCAGAGAAGTGTTCCTAGTGTGGGTTCTGGGGACCTATTTTATGGACAAGATCAAAGAATAGACACATAGCTGCTTGGCAAGCATGTTGTCAAATGTGACTACTAAGGGTTTGCTTGAAAGTGCATGCATTAGGCTGAATGGTGCCGATGTTACAGCTCAGCTGTAAATCACAATGCAGTGTGCTAATCGCATCTTTGAGGGTGAATGCAGAAGAAGATCCATAGTGTGGTCTGTTGTTTTTGTTGCCACTGTTTCTTGTTGCTACAGTGCGATATGTTTCATCCCCAGGTCATAGAGCTACCGCTACTGAACCCTGAGCTGTTTCAACGAGTGGGCATCACCCCACCCAAGGGTTGTCTGCTGTACGGACCTCCAGGCACTGGGAAGACTCTCCTGGCCAGGGCAGTTGCCAGTCAGCTTGATTGTAATTTTCTCAAGGTCAGTGTGAAACGGGTGGAGCACTTTGGAGGGGATACTAGCCTTGTCCTAGAACACAGAAATGCAGCCTGAAAACTGGTTAGGACTGGTTAGACCAGCCCCCTAGCCTTGTTTGGCAGTTGCTCTAGGGGCAGGGGTGGGCAAACTAGCCCCCTAAGAAATGTTTAATGGACCGCAAGGCTGGTATAAAATTGTTATAAAATCTGGCCCTTAAACTCACAAAATAGCACAACAGAAAAACATGTTTTTATGCAGGAAGAAAAGAAATCAGCATCTAAAAATAGGATAAGCTGATGTCGGCAAATTGTTGATGCTAATCAAACATGTGTTGTAGACATTAGGAGACATGATCTGTTGGACTTTAATAATAAAACAGAAGGCACTGACTATTCTTGTTCTTTTTTCCGCAATTTTATGGATCAAAAGACTGCAGTATCCTCAAAAATATTGTGTAACGGGAAAGTCTAGGTGTTGAATTTAGAATTGATTTTTTTCTTTCTATATGGTCAGTGACCAGGTTGGTAATTCTAAGTTTGGCCCATGGACCTAAAGAAGCCTACCTGTGGTCCCTAGGAAAATTCCAACACACGGACAGACAGCAGCTTCTGCAGCATGTCTTGTTCCAAACGGTTGGTGTTACCTTTCTTTTTTGGGTTAACAAGGCAGGCCGAGAGAGGGATCAAGCTGCATGGGCAACACATGGTTCCTTCACTACTGGCCAGGCTTGTGATGTGGAACAGGAGGAGGATAGCCGTGGGCTGTGATTGTCGAGCCTCCTTGTAGCACAGTGGAAGGCTGTTGTCGGGACAAAATAGACAAAAAGGTGCCAGCTGAGTGAACTGCTGTGCGATAAATGTCATATACTTGTGCAGTACTGCAGGACTGTGTATGAGAAACTGGTTTTATACCATGAGCTCTTTTGGTTTCCTGGCACTAACAGGCAGAGTTTGTGTCAGCAGTGGAGCATAGGCTCCCAACTAAGCCCTTAGTAAACTTGGTTATGTTTGACTGGATTTTGTATTCAGTTCTCCACATGGTGCAAGCGCTCTAACCCAGTCTGGAGTTTTAAAATAAAAAAGGTTGATTAGTTAGAGGCTTGTTGAAATCAGTTGTGTAGCCTAGCTGTACACTACTACACAACATGTCAGCTGGCCTTTTAAGTGTGAGCGTAGAAGAAATAGTAAAATTCTCGTGCCAACCCTCCTTAATGGCTGATTAGGACATGCATGGCTGTTTACAGTGCCACTGCTCTTGACTTCCCTTGTGGGCTCCAGCAGCATGCCAGCACAATACTAACCTTGTGTCCTCTTGCACATTCCTGGTATGTTGAGACGTTCTCCAAACATTTCTTTTGTGTGTTGTCTTTAGCCTTGTTACTTCTGCTTCTTCTTCTCATTCACAGGCTCTAAACTTAGGTCCGCTTCTGAACTTTACTCTTTTTGTAGAACTTAAATTTTGCATGCACATCCATTTGACAGGTATTGCTTATTTGTATGCAGACTGTTAGTCACTTGCCTTTGAGGCAACTCTGAATTGGAAGGAAACACCCCCAGTTTGTCAGCATGCTTGTTTTCCCTCCGAATGGGGATTTGTCTAGTTTTCAGTCTAAGTGTTAAGTGTGTTATAAAGTCTGAATGTCTATCAACTTTCATTGTATGTGTGCATGTTTTTGGTCTGTTGATGAGACACAGTGGCATTATTCTCAAATATTTTGAGTCATTTATTGTTATGGCCATCTTGAGGTTTAAATTAAAACGCAGAACATAGTTTCTGATATGATTATCATAAACACCACTTATTAGTCGACTCTTTCATTAGGGAGTCAGTGGGTCTGTCTTTGTTCTCCCCACAATGGGGCCCTAGAACCCACATGGCTAAACATTGTAATCAGTATCATGTAAATAAAACAGTGTTGAAGGGAGAGAGATCAGTACAGAATGTTAGACAGGCCAGCATATTTAGTTCTTAACCATAGGAAGTTATCATAGGCTTGTTAATTTGATTGGTATGTTTGTGACTGTCTGCAGGTGGTGTCCAGTGCTATAGTTGACAAGTACATCGGAGAGAGCGCTCGTCTCATCAGGGAGATGTTTGCTTTCGCCAGGGACCACGAGCCCTGCATTATTTTCATGGACGAGATTGATGCCATTGGTATGTCCTTGATATATTGTGTGTTCCATTTGTTAGTGTACGCTTGCCTGCTGTCTCTCTAGTATGCAGAACTACTGAACCACATGATACGTTATGCCAAGACTCATACTGCTGTAAAGACCTATCTTTACCTCTCCGCGGTCATCCTAGAAATACTTTCCCAACCGGGGGGGGGGGGGGGGGGGGGGGGGGGGGGGGGGGGGGGGGGGGGGGGGGGGGGCCTTGGCAAACTTTAGTAGGGTTGGTGGTAGCTTCAAAGTTGAAGGGCAGTTGCCTGAGATGTAAGGAACCAGTAGTCCTCACACAAGTAAACCAGATCGGTACAAGGTCTGGAACAAGACCAAAGTCCAGAGGTGGACGAACAACCAGAACTGTCTGTCAGAGGTTATAGCTAGTGAAATAGAAGAAGCTGTCCCACTGGTCGTCATCATTCTGTTCTTCTACTGCTTTTTCTCCTCCTCCTTCTTTTTTCTTCGCCGACTTCTTCTTTTCCTCCTCCATCTTTCTTCTTCCATTGATAAACGGTGCAGAGAAAGATAATAAGGGTGGAAGAGAGCGCAGTTTGCAAGACATTTGAATTGAAAGTACTGTTTTGTGATGAATTAGATTTGATTGCCATCTTTTCTTCTCTGTTTACTTTGTTTTGATTTTCATCATTCTTGTTTCTGTGTAGGTGGTAGGCGGTTTTCCGAGGGTACATCGGCTGACAGAGAGATCCAGAGAACTTTGATGGAGGTAAGTCCTTATGGGACCATTGCTGCTGTTTATACAGTGGTTAGTTGTAGATTTACACTTGAGGTTAATATTAGAGAAGAGGTTAATGTTAGGAGTAAGAACATGCTTAGTGATACATTCCAGTTCATAGTTAAGTTTAGGAGTACAGTTTGTATTCACAATAATATGAATAAGCGTGGGGTAAAAAATAATTTTAAGATTATTATTATTACTGCCTGTGTTTCCAACTTTATAGTGCCTTGCGGGACGGGGAAGTCTGAGCGTGTGGATTTTAGGCCATGTGCCTAGTGCAGTTGCCACGAACGACACAGGCTAAAGATTTTATTTTTGCCCCCAACAAATCACAGTCTCCATCCCTTATCGAGGATTGAGCTCCGGTTTCTCACATGAGAGCCTGGTGCTCAGAGCACTTGGCCGGCCACTAATTACAGGTAAATTCAGTCTCATGGTTAAGTTAGGGTAGGTGCAGTAAAACACTTGTGGATAATACACTGCTATCGGCAGACACTTCTTGGGGCTGGCTGGCTGTAAGCCCCAATAGAAAGTTCTAGTTGTCCATCTACTTCTGGGCTGTGACCTTGTTCTAGGACTAGTTTTGTGTGCACATCTGTTTTACTGATGCGGCTTATTTGTGTGCAGACTGTTACTTCCTCGCCTCAGGCAAATGCACTTCGGCCTCAAAAGATGTTGGCCAGCAGACCACCACTCCCAGTTGGGAACATGTTTCCAGGTTGACCATAAAGAGATGTAGATAAACCTAGACCAGTGTGAGTGCTGTTGCTGGTACAGCAGTTAGTGGTACAGCACTTATGCAGCCCAACAGGAGATACATCATCTCTTCTTCTTCTTGTTCACCGGCTGTAAACTCTGGCAGAAAGTTGTGCTTGTTTGTCCACCTAGGTAGTTAGTTAGTCAATAGATGACCCTCATTGCTCATCAAACCATTCAGTCCATAAGCCCTCGGTCCTCTTATTAAATCCTTTACTGTGTAGCAGCTGACCACACCAGTTCTGTGTTGGTTTCTTATTCATCTTTGTCTTTCTGCCTAGTGCTATTATCTGACCACCCCATTTAACACATTGTTCTTGCAGACTGGTAATTGTTGCAGATTCACAGTCATCACCTGGTTCTTGCAAACATCTTACTTCTCCTAGTGCATTCAGAGTGTCTGTCCAATCCATGGCTTGTCTGCCCTCTACGTTAGCTTTACCTGCAAGCCTATCAGCTTGCTCCTTTCCCTGCACGCCTGCATACCCTGGCACAAATATGAAACTGATATGTTTCAGCCTCAGCTGCCTCAGAGACTCTGATCATTGTCTTCAGACCCAACCTATCTCTGTCTTCCTGAGCGTACTTAGAGTCACTGAGAAAACATGTGTGGGAAAAGGTCTGTTTCTCCAATGATGTTATTGCTTTGGTCACTGCATGACTTTCATAGTCCACCTCTGGACTTTGTTGTTCGAGATCTGACTTATTCCTACTTTAAGGAAAAACCCTCATTAGTAGACTCTTATGACATGCTTGTTATTGAGGCAGTGTCTACTCTCCCCCCCCCCCCCCCCCCCCCACACTTTCACCTCCCACTTAAGCTCTGGAACCCACACGGGAAAGACACCTCATCAGTGACGCCAGTGTTTCACATGTTGCTACAGTCACTCCTGCTTTACTCCTGTATTCAGCTTTACTCCTGTATTCAGCTTTACTCCTGCATTCAGCTTTACTCCTGTATTCAGCCTTACTCCTGTATTCAGCTTTATTCCTGTATTCAGCTTTACTCCTTTATTCAGCCTTACTCCTGTATTCAGCCTTACTCCTGTATTCAGCCTTACTCCTGTATTCAACTTTACCCCTGTATTCAGCTTTACTCCTGTATTCAGCTTTACTCCCATATTCAGTCTTACTCCTGTATTCAGCTTTACTCCTGTATTCAGCCTTACTCCTGTATTCAGCCTTACTCCCATATTCAGTCTTACTCCTGTATTCTGCTTTACTCATGTATTCAGTCTTACTCCTGTATTCTGCTTTACTCCTGTATTCAGCCTTACTCCTGTATTCTGCTTCACTCCTGTATTCAGCCTTACTCCTGTATTCTGCTTTACTCATGTATTCAGCTTTATTCCTGTATTCAGCCTTACTCCTGTATTCAGCCTTACTCCTGTATTCAGCTTTACTCCTGTATTCAGCTTTACTCATGTATTCAGCTTTACTCCTGTATTCAGCCTTACTCCTGTATTCAGCCTTACTCCTGCATTAATGTTTGTTGTTCTGATTGCTAATCTCAAATGTACCCTTTATTCTGGATACAGTTGCTGAACCAGATGGATGGCTTTGATGCTCTAGGCCAGGTCAAGATGATCATGGCAACCAATAGACCGGACACTCTTGACCCTGCCTTGTTGCGGCCTGGTAGACTGGACCGCAAGATTGGTCAGTTGACATGGTTTTTTTTTCAGTGTGGCTGATGATTGTATCTGTCCACACCTACAATGTTGCCATAGTCTTGCTATGAATCTTGTTTTTACACTTGCAGTTTATGTGTATATGTATACCATATATATATATATATATGGTTGAGAATACAAATTTCACATATATGGCATTCACATGCACATTGTTTGTGTCTATGGTTGACATATATTGTCTTGATTTTTAAATACACTTTCACATTTACAGTGATAATGTAAACCAGGGCTTTTGAGCTGGTCGCCTGGCGAGTGGCCCATGGTTTATTGCCTCTTGTATTAATGGTCAGTGGCTTAGATGTTGTGAATGCACTTGTAATGCCGGGGTGCTTGGTTCAATCTCATTGTTTGCTGAGAGAGAGAGAGAGAGATAGTGAGGAAAAGGGTGGCGGGTATTGATAGATATTTGTACTCTTGTGAATTTATTGTTACCACATCAGCATTTGTATTTCCACTAGAGCAGTGTACTTGTGTATCCACTAGAGCAGTGTACTTGTGTATCTACTAGAGCTGTGTACTTGTGTATTGTGTATCCACTGGAGCAGTGTACTTGTGTATCCACTAGAGCAGTGTACTTGTGTATCCACTAGAGCAGTGTATTTGTGCACCAACTAGAGCAGTGTACTTGTGTATCCACTAGAGCTGTGTACTTGTGTATCCACTAGAGCTGTGTACTTGTGTATCTACTAGAGCAGTGTACTTGTGTATCCACTAGAGCAATGTACTTGTGTATCCACTGGAGCAGTGTACTTGTGTATCTACTAGAGCTGTGTACTTGTGTATTGTGTATCCACTGGAGCAGTGTACTTGTGTATCCACTAGAGCAGTGTACTTGTGTATCCACTAGAGCAGTGTATTTGTGCACCAACTAGAGCAGTGTACTTGTGTATCCACTAGAGCTGTGTACTTGTGTATCCACTAGAGCTGTGTACTTGTGTATCTACTAGAGCAGTGTACTTGTGTATCCACTAGAGCAGTGTACTTGTGTATCCACTGGAGCAGTGTACTTGTGTATCCACTGGAGCAGTGTACTTGTGTATCTACTAGAGCAGTGTACTTGTGTATCCACTAGAGCAGTGTACTTGTGTATCCACTAGAGCTGTGTACTTGTGTATCCACTAGAGCAGTGTACTTGTGTATCCACTAGAGCAGTGTACTTGTGTATCCACTAGAGCAGTGTACTCAAACCCTGGTGGTGTGTAAGAAAGTTCCAGGGGGCGTCAAGCAGTTAGTGAACCTGTGTGCTTGTCATCATCTGTTACATCAACATTTTTGATGTTTTTGTTTTCATGAGCAGTTTTTACTTCTAATGTTAACAGTCTGATTTAACTCTTTCAGGACCAGCTGAAAAAGAAATTAAAGACCACTGCATTAGCTGTTAGTGTTCCTTATTTACTACCAGTATTTATATTATCAAATGTCACTTTCAGAAATCTCACTGCCCAATGAACAGGCCAGGTTGGAAATTCTGAAGATTCACGCCAACCCGATTGCCAAGCACGGAGAAATAGGTATGTCTATAGCGTATTCTATGGCGTATGTCTGTGGCGTATGTCTGTGGCGTATGTCTGTGGCATATGTCTGTAGTGTATGTCTGTGGCATATGTCTGTAGTGTGTGTCTGTGGCATATGTCTGTAGCGTATGTCTGTGGCATATGTCTGTAGTGTGTGTCTGTGGTGTATGTCTGTAGTGTATGTCTGTAGTGTATGTCTATGGCATATGTCTGTAGTGTATGTCTGTAGTGTATGTCTGTGGCATATGTCTGTAGTGTATGTCTGTGGCATATGTCTGTAGCGTATGTCTGTGGCATATGTCTGTAGCGTATGTCTGTAGTGTATGTCTGTGGCGTATGTCTGTAGTGTATGTCTATAGTGTATGTCTGTGGCATATGTCTGTAGTGTATGTCTGTGGCATATGTCTGTGGCATATGTCTGTAGTGTATGTCTGTGGCATATGTCTGTAGTGTATGTCTGTAGCGTATGTCTGTGGCATATGTCTGTAGTGTATGTCTGTAGTGTATGTCTGTGGTGTATGTCTGTAGTGTATGTCTGTTGCGTATGTCTGTAGTGTATGTCTGTGGCATATATCTGTAGTGTATGTCTGTGGCATATGTCTGTAGTGTAAGTCTGTAGTGTATGTCTGTGGCATATGTCTGTGGCATATGTCTGTGGTGTATGTCTGTGGTGTATGTCTGTAGTGTATGTCTGTGGCATATGTCTGTGGCATATGTCTGTAGTGTATGTCTGTGGCGTGTGTCTGTGGTGTATGTCTGTGGGGTATGTCTGTGGGGTATGTCTGTGGCGTGTGTCTGTGGGGGTATGTCTGTAGTGTATGTCTGTGGCGTGTGTCTGTGGGGTATGTCTGTAGTGTATGTCTGTGGCGTGTGTCTGTGGCATATGTCTGTGGCGTATGTCTGTGGCATATGTCTGTGGTGTATGTCTGTGGGGTATGTCTGTGGTGTATGTCTGTAGTGTATGTCTGTGGCATATGTCTGTGGTGTATGTCTGTAGTGTATGTCTGTGGTGTATGTCTGTGGCATATGTCTGTAGCTTGAGCTTCTCATGTTGCAGAGAGTCTTCCCGTGGAGATTATGGGGGCCACTAGATTCTGAGGCCCCTTTTTGGTGGGGAAACAGATTAGATCAACTGCACCGTGACAAACATGTCGTAAAGAGTGATTAATAAAGGGTTCTCTGAAATTGAATGTGTTGGACTGACAGGTGCCGCTATCACAGTCCTGCGGTTTTGCTTATGAGTTCCAGTCCTAGTTGTGGAACAAAACAGGCACAGATGCCAACCGCCTTTGAGAGGCAGACACACAAGAAGCAGCAGTTCATTATGTGTGGTGTGTTGTGAAGCAGACAGGAGCAGGTTGTTTTACGGTGGTACGCTGTGGTACAAAGTAACAGCACATTTTTTAAGCATTCCTTTTTTTCAGTGGTACTGTAATAGACACTCAGAGGTAAGTATTGGCAGCTTTTTGTCTAGCAAAAGTCTTTGGTAGAAGTATCTGTTCTCAATGGTGCAGTTGTCAAACATTCATTATCTGGTCCCTGCTTAGAATAGAGGGAATTGAATGGTGTCACAGATGTAGTACTTTGGGAGAGATTAAACATATTCCAGTGAATCAAGAGGTGAGGAAAACATGCTGGTTCTGGATAGGACACACATTGAGATCAGTACAGCTATAGCGACCTGGCACTGGAACCCGCTGTAGAGAAGAAATAAAGGCCAACCTTCCTTGATGTTCAGATCTTTGAGGATGTCAGTATTTCTTTTCTTCTTTGTCCATGATATTCTGAGAATCTTTCTGTAGCATTTCAGATCAAAGGTTTTCTTTCAAACATAAGTGAGATTATTATAACATGAGGTGTGGCAGGTTTCACTCGGACACTAGCTGGTCAGATGTTGCTTGGAGCAGAAAGAGATGGAGGAATAGATATTATTGCCCAGTGACCTTGACATACTTCTGTTACAGATTGGGAAGCTGTGGTGAAGCTTTCGGAAGATTTCAACGGAGCTGATTTGAGAAATGTCTGCACTGAAGCAGGTATGTTTGTTGTCTTATATATAACCTGTTATGTCTGCACTGAAGCAGGTATGTCTGTTGTCTTATATATAACCTGTTATGTGTACAAGACTTATGCTGTCTTATACTGTACCTGTTATGTGTACAAGTGTGTGTATTATATTGAAGCTGTTGCGTGTACAAGACTTATGCTGTCTTATACTGTACCTGTTATGTGTACAAGTACTTGTTTCTTGTCTTATGTTGTACCTATTTGTGTGTACAAGTTGCATGTATGTTGTCTTACTTCTTTGTATCACAGCTGATAATTACAATAAAGATAGCTAGCTTCGAACCCAGATCTAACTCCTTCAAACTCTGATCCCTACAGGAATGTTCGCCATCAGAGCTGAGCGTGACTACGTCGTCGAGGAAGACTTCATGAAGGCTGTGAGGAAAGTTGCAGACAACAAAAAGTTGGAAAGCAAGCTGGATTACAAGCCTGTTTAATCCTGTTTATAACCCCACCAGCTTCATTAATCTATGCTATGTTGCTTATATACATTGTGTGTATTTAAGGATGTGTCGTTGTATCAGGTCTTGTGAGCCAGTGTAGGAAATGAATGATCGATTCTGAGCTTTTTTTGTTCCCATTATTCTTTTTCTGCATTTGCCCTTCAAGTAGTTGTTGGCACATTATGTTGTGGTTTACAGCCAGACTGCGATATCAGCACCATTCAGCCCGACACATCTAATTTCAGCCAGTCATTCATTAGTTGCCTCTTATGGCATGCTTGTGAAAGGGGTAGTGGGTATAGACTTTCTTTAGGGCCATGGAACCCCACAGGTTCAATTTCCAAAAGTGGCCAGTTTTTTCCCCAACCAGTCAGGCAAACCCCACCTCGCTGGAGTGACTACTAGTTAAGTTCCTCATCTGTCCTTGGAAAATTCTGGAACTTGGCAAGTAGTCAGTGTGACGAGGCTGGATGTCAGAACTCTTCAGACCCTAATGGCTGTATCAGCTGTGGGACTGCCTTTACTTTTTCTGACTTTTCCCCAGAAGAATGTTGTTAGTTACTCTGAAGTCCAAAGTATTCACAACATTCTTCTACAAACCAGGGAATAATCAGTTTGCCCACCTCTGGCCTTTTTTTTCTCTTGTTGCAGAGCTTGAGTTTTGCGTGCTCATCCGTTTTACTGATTTGGCTTATTTGCAGATTGTTGGTTCCTTGATGCTCAGTCAGATGCACTGTGACTTCGAAGAAAATCCAAATCAGTTGACTCTTATGACATCCTTGTTAGAGAGGCAGTAGCTGTATTCTGGTCCCCCCTCCCCCCTGGAACCCACACAGAAAAAAATCATTGTGCGAGTATTGTTAAACAGTGGAAATCGTTATTTTTTGTTTTCTGTAATGTTTCTTTCTCCTTTGAGTGCTGAGAAAATGATGTGTGTCATAAACTTGTGGTATTTTGATTGCAATAAAAAAAATGATTTGAATTAGTCACTTTTCTTTGGTCTTTACATTGTGGCCATCGTCTGTGGCTAAGTGCTTGTGAGTAGGGTTTGTATTTCCGAGATACCCAGTACACTTCCAGATGTGAGGATTTTGTGCTGATTTCAACAATGGTATCCAGAGCCGACCAATTAAAAAAGCAGTGGCAAACTACTGAGTGAGACAGTTGCCCGGGGAAACCACAAAACCCTGCAATTTTAATTTTAGAGTCAGAGCCAAACGTGTGTGCCACTCAACTCTGTTGCCACAGTTCAGCAGTTCCTAAATATTTTTGAGCCACGATCCTATTGTGTAGGGGCAGTATGACCCGCAGCCCCATACATCACTCAGTGCAGATGTGTCACTAAGAATCGACCAATCACAAGCTGAACAGTTACACATTCCACAAACAAATCTCTGTTTAGAAAGCAATGACCTCATTATTTCCCCCCTATTAAAAATGTTTTCTCAGCCCCAAATGGTGTCATGATCCGTGGCTTGAGAACCCATGGCATAGTTGGAGAGGCTGGTGTGCCTCTGTTTTTCAGGTCTCAGACATGGGCTATAGGGCTTCACAGATCCAGGATCAAACAAGAAGGAAAAACAGCAAGTTATATTTTGAGAACTTCAGATGGAGGAGCACGCTAAGGATGGTACTTCTTCATCGTTGTGCCTGTTTACAGCCTAGTTACCATATTGTGCCTTTTGGCCAACACATCAGACTATCTCTCTGGGACCGCATTAGCGTAGTCGATAAGAGGCTCGCTTTCATACCCAGCTGCGACTCACTGCAGCCCACAGTCGGTGTTCGAAACTGGGCGGTTCCCGGGGTTCACCCAGCCTCTAGGAAATGGGTACCAGAGTGATACTCTGAGGTAAATGGAGGTACGTCGCTGTAGCTACAGAGGTGAGTACGGATGGCGACTCAGGCGGACAATTCTTATCAGCTGTCCGTACTGGTGGCAGAGCACGTATGGTTTATAACCGTATGCAATGACGCTGGTTAACATCTCCCGACTTTACCTTTATCAGACTATCTGGGCTAGCATTCCCAGATAGCTGTGTGCGACAGGTGTAGCCTTCTGTGCCTGGTGAGATAATCACTCACAGGTGTTGTCCCTGGAGAACCTGTCTAGGGCAGCAGCGTGAAGCTTGCTTGACCCTCAGGGAAAGGCAGAGCATGGATATCCCCCTCCATCCGACGAGGCCTTCGTAATGCAGAGCTGATATATAGTGCTTTGATACGGGGCCCACACAAGAAAGCGCCACGTGCTGTACATGATTGCTTAGGCTAACATTGGTCAATTAATCTTCCACTCATTATTTAGGGCACTCACTTCCCTAGAAGCGATCTGCAGACTTGAGCCAGCAATTCCCAGCACCAATGGGCATCACACATCCTGAACATGGAGACTTCTCTCTTTGTCAGTGGATGCCCTGGGTTCTTGTTGCATCATTTACAGGAAGCATGCATCAGGCATTGAAGGTATCTCATAAAGTACTATCTTTTAGCTAGGGACATTTGAACCTTTAACCTTTTTAGCGCGGGGGGGGGGGGGGGGGGGGGATGCAGCCTAATAACTTCATGTTTGGCAGGGACAAAAACGGGCCCTTTGTTTTAGTTGGCTGCTGGTCTAAGAGGAAGGCTCCGACAGGTGGACAGACAGCAATGCTCTTCAGATCCTGCTGCTGGTGTTACCTTTCCTTTGGAGTTAACAATGCAGGCAGAGTGAGGGATTACATTTCATGGGCAAGACATGGTCTCTGCAATACTGCCCAGTCCTTATGCCCTAGCGATGATAAACTTGTGATTGCCACACCTCTCTATAACACATACCACATTATCTGGAAAGGTGGCAATGAACAGCAAAGATATTTTCCAAAAAAATGCATATTTATTTCTCAAGAACACACAGACTTTATATACAGATTCTTCTCTCTGGGATGTACAATAAATAATCTCTTCTAATGCAGTATGTACAATCTTCGATAAACATGTTTTCATAAATATACAATTTGCATAACAATTCTTGATAACAAAGGCTCATAGGTTTCTAAAGTTTTTGACTTCTAAGTTAACATTTGTGATCCGTGGCATTTGCACAAATTCCATCCACCACGGGTGGAACGCATCTGAAGCTCTGTGCTACTGAGCTGACGACATGTGTGATTGTGGCACTTACACAAACTCCCTCCATTGTGGGTGGAACAAATCAACGGCTGTGGTCATCTTGCTTTTGGTTTAATTAAGCAGAACTGGTGTGTCTCCCTATCTAAATTTTTGCATAACTAGTAAACTGGATGGTACACTTATCTCCTTGATTTTAGATTTGTTGCCTGGATGTCTTTGCTTTCTCAAATAAGGACAACAAATCTGGAGGATCTAAGCAGGCACTACAAGACTTGGTCATGTGTTGTAGACAATAGCTCATATTGACCTAGACCTCAATGTAGCTTTTAAGAACAGCATTTCTCACCTCTGAATGCACTGCTGACCAAACACCTAACAACAAATGCAAGAATGAACCATCAGCATATGTTTCACTAAAGAAAAATAAAATCATTTTGGCATTCAGTCAACAAAAATCTGGCATATTTCATTATATATACAAAAATATCATTTGCATGGGAAACCTTGAGGTTACTGAGATAAAACATCAGAAATATATACAGGCACTGATTGACACTTGTATATCCCATGATGGTCCTTGGATGATTTGCATACACACAAGCACTGATCAGCACTTGTATATCCCATGATGGTCCATGGAAAATTTATGCACATAGGCACTGATTGGTATCTGTATATTGCATTATGCTCCACTGATAATTCAACATGTCCCCATCAAATGTTATAACAGATGATGTAGGCATTCACATTTTCCCCACAGATCTGAGCCCTTCGTGTTGTGGACAAATTATATTTATCTATTCCATTCCTTTCTGACACCATCTAGTATAATTTGTTTTGTCTGTCCCTGTCTCTGTAGTTGTGATTTTTTTCCAGATTTCACAATGTTCTCCAAAACTTCTTTTCTCATTACATGCCCAAAGAACAATGTTTGAATCTGTTGCATGCAATGTTCTACTTTCATGAAGATTTCTTAGGCAAACATTAGTCCATCTCTGATTTCTTTGCTCCAGTTCCTAGATTCAATGACATACAATAGAACAGGTTCAACATAAGATTTCATTTGTCTTTGACCACATTAAAGAGTAAGTAAAAGTAAAGATCCCTGTTTACGCCTTAGGCGCATCAGTCATATGGGAAGAGCATCTCATATTTTTACAGACCAATCAGCACAAGGTGGGTGATGTCAGCATTACGCCGACCGTCTTTACTTCCCCAGGACAGCCATCATGGTACCCACTTAAGGCTGGGTCGACCTGCAGGGCCCCGCACCATGATGACAACCCACGCAGCCAGCAGTGGGTTTTGATTGCGGTACGTTGGAATTACGAGTTGGACTCACAACGCCTAAGCCACGGAAGCCGCTTTGACCACAAGGCTCCGCTATCAATAGATCTAGCATAAAAGGATTGGTGGCCGGTGGATTGAGCCAAAACCTCCCAGTGTTTAAAGTGGGGGGTTGAGCATTCTCACTTGTACTTACATGTGGTCAGTTTTGACCCGGATATGTATTTATAACCAGGCTTTGGATATGGGTAATTGATCATTGTACACTTACTGGGGGTACACAGTAATTAGTTTCTGTGCCAGAAACAAGAACTCAGATAATGTGGACTAAAGAAACAGTTAAGATTAAACAAGGCTTTAGAAACAAGTGAGCTAAAGTAATATTTTAGACAAAATGGGCTAAAGTAACAATTATGATCACATGGGCAAAGTAAAGACTGGGATATGTGGGCTAAAATAACAACTGGCATAAACCAGGCTTCGTATGTGAGACTGCAATAAGCTGGATTAAATCAACAATTAAGATAAAACGTGTTATATAAACAATGGAAACAAATGGGGACTTGGTTAAAGTAACAGTCAGAATATACTGGGGTAGAGTAACAACTGGGATTTTTTAAAAAGTAGTCACATATTTTTCGCCATAAAAAAAAAAAAAACAAGAAGTAGAGACTAAGGTAGAATGAGCCGCAAGATGGGGGGGGGGGGGGGGGGGGGGGGTTTGTTACTTATACAATCTAAGAAGTTCCACAGCATGCTAATGACTAACATCATCTGGACAATAGTCTTGTAAGATAAAGTGGTTATTTCATGGCTCCTGCCCTCGACAAGCATGTCCTAGCAGTTGACCCATCAGGGCAGTTTCCTTCAATTTTCCACCGGAGTTTACAGCTGGTAAAGGTGAAGAAGAAAAGATCTCCCAAAAATAATAAGCTAGAGATCTATCAGTTCATCAAAGTTGTGCAGTGAATTGTTTTTGATAGGGTTACCAAAGCCAAAGCGTCCCAACAGTACGATCTATCATACTGTTGTGTTTGTGGCTCAGATGTTCCAAACGCGCTTTGTAAAACCGGGGTGCCGGGTTCAATCCCAGCTGCAGGCCCTGCGCTGGTTTCGACAGTGGTATCAGGAAGCTGAACGTCCAGAAAGCAATGGCAAATTACTGGACGTAAATTTGTCTAGAAAAACCACAACAGGCAAAAAATGCTGGGGTTGGTTCTGCAACGTCGTGTTAAGGATATGAAACTAACTGCCACCATAATGGAACCAGCCATTGCTGTAACTCAATCCTCTGCTCAGAGGTCATGCATCATTCCACATTTTGAAGACAATCCAGTTTTCTTGCAGTGCATTTTTGAAGGTTTTCTTGCACCACATTTTAAAGACAATACAGTTTTGTTGCACCACATTTTGAAGACAATCTAGTTTTCTTGCACCACATTTTGAAGACAATCTAGTTTTCTTGCACCACATTTTAAAGACAATACAGTTTTGTTGCACCACATTTTGAAGACAATCTACAATTTTCTTGCACCAAATTTTGAAGGCAATCTCCATTTTTCTTGCACCACATTTTGAAGGCAATCTCCATTTTTCTTGCACCACATAGTGAAAAAATTCTTCCACTTTCTTGCACTATGTTTTCAAGGTAATCTAGTTTTGTTGATGCATAGAAACTCCTGTAGAAGCTAGATCACGTATTTACATTGATCAGCACTCGGAGACCTTGGCGACTGATGTGACACGGGGGAAGAGCTGCGGGATAGAAACATCAATTATTTTTACAAATTGTTAAAATTACAAAAAGTTCACTAACTCTCAAACTTGCACACAGAATTAACTTAAAGTTACACACATAGGAATGACTTTTAACTTCATACAAAGTGGAATAACTGTTAACATTACACAAAGTGTAATAATTGCTAATATGCAGTAAGGAATAACTGTTGACATTACACAAAGTGGAACAACTGCTAACATTACAAACAAAAGGAATAACTATTGACATTTCACAAAGTAATAATTGCTAACATTACGCAGTAAGAAATAACATCATACAAAAAGGAATAACTGCTAACTTTACACACACAAAGAATAACAGTTCACATTACTCAAAGTGGAATGAAAGTTTACAGTAGACCCACAGTTAGAACTCTTACAATGACATTAATGGCAACTTCTTGCATTATTTCTCTGAATGACATTAATGGCAACTTCTTGCATTATTTCTCTGTGAACTGTCCGCAGCCAACAAAGACAGTTCCATACAAATGATCTACAAACAAGACCACACAAATGACTGAACAAACACTTTCCACAACATGATCCAATAAACATATTACAAACAAATGACCCAACAAAGACTTTCTCACACAAATGACCCAACAAAGGCTCGCCCACACAAATGACCCAACAAAGGCTCGCCCACACAAATGACCCATCAAAGGCTTTTCTTCTACGTTTTCTTTTTCTTCTTCGCGTTCACCAGCTGTATACTCTGGTGGAAAATTCTGGTTGCTCGTCCACTACTGAACTGCAGACTTGCTCCAGAACCTGAGTGTTGCGTGTGCATCAGTTTTACAGATCTCATTCTCTTGAATACAGACTGCTGGTTCCTTGACTCTCCGGCAGATGCACTCCAACTTCAAAGGAAGCTCCCCAATTAGTCGACTCTTACGACATGCTTTTGGGGAGGCAGTGGGTCTATTCTTGTTTTCCCCACAATGGGGCCCTTGAACCCATACGGGGGTCTTCTACGTTTTAATTCCCAATGAAGCACAGGATCTTAATCACCTGATGTCAAGTCATCCAACCCTCGGCTTCTGCATCCAGTTCCCCCATGTCCTCTCAACCCTTTTAACTTTGATCTTTAGCTTTCTTCTTCCAGCCAACAAAGACATATCTCACAGAAATAATCCAACAAATACTATCTCACAATCTACCCAAGAAAGACATATCTCATAGAAATAATCCAACAAATACTATCTGACAATTTACCCAACAAAGACATATCCCACAGAAATAATCCAACAAATACTATCTCACAATCTACCCAAGAAAGACATATCTCACAGAAATAATCCAACAAATACTATCTGACAATTTACCCAACAAAGGCATATCCCACAGAAATAATCTAACAAATACTATCTCACAATTTACCCAACAAAGGCATATGCCACAGAAATAATCTAACAAATAATATCTTACAATTTACCCAACAGAAACATATCCCACAGAAATAATCTAACAAATACTATCTCACAATCTACCCAAGAAAGACATATCTCACAGAAATAATCCAACAAATACTATCTGACAATTTACTCAACAAAGACATATCCCACTGAAATAATCCCACAAATACTATCTCACAATTTACCCAACAAAAACATATCCCACAGAAGTAATCCAACAAATAGTATCTCACAATTTACCCAACAAAAACCACCCTACCCAACTGAAAAAAAGAAAAGAAAAGACTGCCCCCATTCAAATGACCCAGCAATGACTGCTCCACACGCAATCACCCACACATGTGACCCAAGAAACTACTCACCCCTAACAAGTTGCGAGGAATGTACCCCTCCCGTCCATTCAGCTGGGCCCACCACCACTCTTTCTCCGTCTCATCCCCCTTGCGAAGCACCATCAACTTGTTGCCATTCTGGAAACTTAGTTCATCCGTATTGGTGGCCTGGTAGTCAAACACAGCGTACACTTCCCCATTGTTGACGATGCCTAGCTTTTCCTGGATGCCTGGTAAAAAAAAAAATTGTCACATATTACAGGTAATTTGATGTTGGAGATTATGATTTTTCATACAATACAAATTCTCCGTGTGGGTCCTGGGGCCTTATTGTGGGGAAGACAACAATAGACCCCACTGCCTCCAAAACAAGCATGTCATAGGAGTCCATTAATTGGAGGCTTCTTTCGAAGTTAGAGTGCATCTGCCCGAGTGGCAAGGAACAACCAACTGCCCACAAATAAACCAGTAAAACAGATATACACACAAAACTCAGGCCTTGGCACAAAGCCATATAAAGCAAATTAATTTCAGATCTATGCTACCAGTGACAGACATGGTCACTCACAACATACAAAAAAATCAGTAACCATCTACAAGAGATGTCTGAGAAGGGCTGCAGGAGTGACCAGAACAGACAAAATCAGGAATGAGGTCACAAAAGAAAATCTTTTGAAAGTTTGTCTACTTAAAGAGAGTGGTCGTAGGAAGTAAAGGTGTCTGGCATCATGCTGACATCACCTCCAGAGTGCAATTGATCTATAAAATAAAGATCCAGCTCTATGGGCCCTGGTTAGAATTAATCCAATTGTAAATATTTCTAAAGGAATAAGATGTGAGTCCTTTACAAAATGTTTCGTATCAAATTTAGCACTTGGTTGTTTGTGGGTTTTGTAGGTCATTTTATATTCAGTATTTTGCCACTGCTTTCTCAATGAATGATGCTCATATTACTGTAACAATCAAGGCTAAGTAGTTTGCAGTCAAGGCACCTATATGTGAATCAAAGCCAAGATGCTGAAATTATGAAGCTGCATTCACAACCCCTAAACCACAGATAAAAACCATAATAATTAACATTTTCCCAGGGATGTAAAACCTTGATTTACAGAAATATATTGTCCCAGTGATGTAAATTCTTGATTTACAGAAATATATTGTCCCAGTGATGTAAATTCTTGATTTACAGAAATATATTGTCCCAGGGTTGTAAATCCTTGATCTACAAAAATACATTGTCCCAGGGATGTAAATAATTGATTTACAGAAATACATTGTCCCAGGGATGTAAATAATTGATTTACAGAAATATATTGTCCCAGGGATGTAAATCCTTGATCTACAAAAATACATTGTCCCATGGATGTAAATCCTTGATCCACAGAAATATATTGTCCCAGGGATGTAAATAATTGATTTACAGAAATATATTGTCCCAGGGATGTAAATAATTGATTTACAGAAATATATTGTCCCAGGGATGTAAATAATTGATTTACAGAAATATATTGTCCCAGGGATGTAAATCCTTGATCTACAGAAATACATTGTCCCAGGATTGTAAATCCCTAATCCACAGAAATTCATTGTTCTTTCTCTTCTGTATGCCCCATTAACAGTTCACATGTTGGATAAAGGGTGAGGTTTAAAGCTAGTCTGCGATATCTGTGCCTTCTGACCCAAAAACATTCGATTGCAACAAACCCCTAACTAACAGCCTTTTACAATGGGCATGTTAGGAGGCAGTAAGTCTATCTCCTCCACCCCCCACCCCTCACCCTCACATGCAGCCTTGGAACCCACATGGGGGCAGATACATCCATAATTCACAAATTATCAAACTGTCACAGGGGTATGTGATGTAGCAACTGTCACAAGGGTATGTGATGTGGTAGCCACTGTGACAGGGGTATGTGATGTGGTAGGAAATGTGATGCAGTAGCAACTGTGACAGGGAAATGTGATGTGGTAGCTACTATGACAGGGATATGTGCTGTGGTAGCCACTGTGACAGGGGTATGTGATGTTGTAGCAACTGTGACAGGGGTAAGTGATGTGGTAGCAACTGTGACAGGGAAATATGATGAAGTAGCAACTGTGACAGGGAAATGTGATGAAGTAGCAACTGTGACAGGGAAATGTGATGAAGTAGCAACTGTGACAGGAAATGTGATGTGGTAGCAACGGTGACAGGGAAATGTGCTGTGGTAGCCACTATGACAGGGATATGTGATGTGGTAGCCACTGTGACAGGGATATGTGATGTGGTTATCACTGTGACAGGGGTATGTGATGTGGTAGCCACTGAGACAGGGGTATGTGATGTGGTAGCAACTGTGACAGGGAAATGTGATGTAGTAGCAACTGTGACAGGGGAATGTGATGTGGTAGCAACTGTGACAGGGATATGTGATAGCAACTGTGACAGGGATATGTGATGTGGTAGACACTGTGACAGGGGTATGTGATGTGGTAGCAACTGTGACAGGGAAATGTGATGTAGTAGCAACTGTGACAGGGGAATGTGATGTGTTAGCAACTGTGACAGGGATATGTGATGTGTTAGCAACTGTGACAGGGATATGTGATGTGGTAGCCACTGTGACAGGTATATGTGATGTGGCAGCAACTGTGACAGGGATATGTGATGTGGTAGCAACTGTGACAGGGATATGTGATGTGGTAGCCACTGTGACAGGGATATGTGATGTGGTAGCAACTGTGACAGGGATATGTGATGTGGTAGCAACTGTGACAGGGATATGTGATGTGGTAGCAACTGTGACAGGGATATGTGATGTGGTAGCAACTGTGACAGGGATATGTGATGTGGTAGCAACTGTGACAGGGATATGTGATGTGGTAGCCACTGTGACAGGTATATGCAACAGATCTAGCTTATTTGTTTATCAGTAATGAACCAGACTTACTGTACAAATAGTCGGAGCAGCTGTCGTACCCATCCTCGTCCTCCTCACATTTATCAGCAGCAGTTTCATGGTCAGAGATGGTGGTGGCAAACACGCAGGCCCCGTGCTCCACCAGGAACCGAACCATTGGTAGGTTGTTGCATGAGGCAGCACAGTGCAGTGGTGTCCTGGCAAAACATAATAACTTTGCATACTACAGGAGAACCAATGGGAGCAACTGTTTCAAAACACAATAACTTTGTATGCTACAGGAGAACCAATGGGAGCAACTGTTTTTTTTTTTTAGTATCCCGAAGCCATGAGTTGTTAACCCTTAGGCTCGGTATTATGGATATCGTAACCCTTCGGCCTTGATTCCATGATAGATACTATAAATCTGAGAGAAATGTGGCTTTTCTGCCTACCCCCGGGCGTGAACCCGGACCACAAGGAGTTCGTCACCCGGTCACCGCACAATCCGGTTTAGCCAACTACGCTAGCGAGCCGGGCAAGAGCAACTGTTTCAAAACAGTATGCTACAGGAAAACCAATGGGGGCAACTGTTTCAACTACATTCAGTATTTTTCTTCAGTTTTGCTTCCACATCTGCTTTACAAATCTGGCTCAAAGGTTTGCCTCTCAGGCTAATGCACTCCTACTTTGAAGGCAACACCCAAAATTAGTTGTCTTTTACAACATACTTGTTTTTTTTTCCGCCCTGAAAGCCACAATGGGACAACCACTCAAGTCACAGACAATCAGTGTTTATGTGGTTGTAACAAACATAACAGAAAAGCATCTGGCAGAAAATTGGTAGCACTGGGTTCTAATCTGGGAGACCTGATTGCCAACAACAACAACAAAAATGTCTTCCTTGCACTGTTCGTGGCAACTACACTAGTCATAGGGACTAAAACTCTCTGGTTGAAAATATGACCTGTTGATGAGGCTAGGCTTATATTTATACAGACCAATCAGCATTGGATGGTCAACATCACGCCAGCCACCTTTACTTCCCAGGACTCAACCTTGTACCCCTAAAAGTTAGCTGTGTATTCTTTACAGGATATTACAGAACCAACCCCAGAATTTGTTTCTGGCTTTTTGTGATCTGACTAGGCAATTTTACATTCAGCAGTTTGCCACTGCTCTTTGACCATTGGCTCTGGATACCACCACCTGACCCCTGCACTACACAGACCTAAACAGTGCTAGAACAGGAGGGTAGTAACAGGCTGTTTATAACAAAACTTGTTCTATGGTTGATACTGCGATCAAACAATTAATACTTCATTCTTCTGTTTCTGAATTCACCTCTGAAAGTGCAGTTAGCATGCGGTGTTGTGGGTTACAGCTAGACTGTGATATCTGACCCTTTATACCCAGTACACCTACTTCTGCAAATCTTTAATTAGTTGCCTTTCCCAAAATATTTGTTTGGGGAAGGGGGGGGGGGTGAGTATTCCCACACCCCCAATTGGGGCCCTGGAATGCACACAAGAAAAATAACTCATTCCATAACTATTCTGTCTTTTTGTTCTCTGGCCTTACGTTTATCAGTTGAATGATCATTTTGTCCTCTCTGGGCTCCTACCCACAGCATCATGAGATTTTAAAAAATCCTAAACTGGACAGCAGAACTCAAGTCAGATCTCAGACATCCTGTTCAACCTTCACGGAGCACCCGTAACAGCTCCACTGGCCAGCTGGTGTCACATGCAGACCTGTGTGGGGGAGGACCTTCATCTTCCAAAAAAACAGAGACCCGAACAAAGACCTCTAGCCGGGTCAGGGTCAGTTTTGTGCAGACCTGATCATGGTTGGCTGGGATTACAGAGAGACAGAGGGCTGTAGAAAATCATAACGACACAGCCTGGAGAATCAGGTAATATCTGAAGTAGTTGGATACCATGGACAAATGTAAGATTATCGGACCTAGAAAGTTTAATTCTTGCATAGAGCAAGGTGAACACACAATGTACATACAACAGACTGCACTGTAGACTAGTCACTGAAATTCCAAAAACAAAGAGCACCATAGACATTGAATCTGACAGAATATATGGCATAGAGCAGAAGTAGATAGAACATACGCAGACAGCACTGCAGGTGCTGAATCAGATAGAACATACAGCAGAGTGCTTTTTAGATGCTGAATCAAATAGAATATACAGTAGACATGGAAGCTACAATAAAATAGAGAAGGTATGTAAGAGCCACATACCATCCATCACTATCAGGTGCATTAACATCACAGCCAAGCTCCACGAGAACAGTAACGATGTCGTAATGTCCGGCACAGATGGCGTTGTGAAGGGCGGTGATGCCTTCATCATTGGGTGTGCTCACGTCATCGACCTGAGGGAGGTAAGCAAGAGTTAATGGTTTGATTTAGTGTCCTAACAACAGCAACAATAAAAACACCAACAACACCAGTAATGTGGGCTTGACCTTTGCTGCTTACCACCCTTATCACCATCTCTATTATCCTCCTGTCATGCCACTTTGTGACACACAGGACAAATGGTCTGTTCTTTATTTGTATTTTGTCCTGTGCAACCCTTTCAATATCATGAATGGAAACCAGTCAAGCACCTTTGGCACCTGTCAGAAATGTTTCTATTTTGGTTTCTCCTGAAAATCATCGTTTTCTCAACCTGTTTCCCATTTCAGTGACTGTCTTGCAAAACTCAAACCCTGAAACAAGGCCAAGGTTCCGAAGTGGACGACTAACCAGGACTTTCCAGCCGTTAATTAAATGTGAAGAAGAAAAAAAAGAAGAGAACTGAATTGATTTGATTTAAGAAACCACATCACAGCACTCAGGGTATTCTCATAAGCGCTCCGTCCTCATCTTCAGCCAGCAAGTGAAGAGTTCCAATAAAAATGCCACCAGTAGCATCTGATTTTACGTCCATCTTGCCTTTCCTCTGAGCATCAAGTGTCGGACCGATCCCCTCGTCACGCTTCGCTGCATCACTCTCACCAGACTGTGACGATCTGTATATTCCTCCTCCGAAGACAAGATAAACCATTAAAAGAGAAATAAAGATACAAACTCAGGAGATTTCCCATAACTCATGCAGTATTCTTCTGCCTGGCTCTTGAGTGCTTGCAGCTTCTTTAGCTCTAGGTCCTGGTTCTCTACTCTTCTGGAATCTTCCTCAGACGTTCACTTTCGGAGGCCAACTATATTCCAATCAGGCTTTCCTGAAGTTGTCAATCTTGTTGTCTAGTGTGTCCTCTGATCTAACTGTGCCCCTGTCTTCAATGAGGACCAATCTGTTTGGGGACCACAGTAATGAAGTGACTGCAATGCTTCCCTATAGCGTGGGAGTTACGGGTTCGAACCCCCACCAAGACAGATTTGTTTTACACTGATGGATACCAGAACAACCCACTCTAGAAAGGTATCAGGAAATGTTTTGCAAAGTAATGGCAGCCAAAATGGTTGACTACATTACACAGCGAATGCCAGCTGGTCTAAAAAATATGGAATTAGAACCATATACGGTGTTGATCACTTAAGGCAATCTCGGATGTGGCAAATTTCTGATTTCAGGGACAATTTGTTTATCCCCGGCTATTTTTCTTGCTGGAATTATAATCTAGATAACCCTCGTGTGGGTTCCGGGGCCCCATTGTAGTGGAAAACAAGAATAGACCCACTGCCTCCCCAAAAGCATGTCGTAAGAGTCGACTAATTGGGGAGCTTCCTTTGAAGTCGGGAGTGCATCTGCCGGAGAGGCAAGGAACCAACAGTCTGTATTCAAGAGAATGAGATCTGTAAAACTGATGCACACGCAACACTCAGGTTCTGGAGCAGGACTGCAGTTAAGTAGTGGACAAACAGCCAGAACTTTCTGCCAGAGTGTACAGCTGGTGAACGTGAAGAAGAAGAAAGAATAATCTGGATAAGATGATTTTTGATAAGAAGAACCATTTTTTGAGTCCCTTGTGAGTTCTCCTTATCAGGTATAAACTGTACCAACAACACATTAAAGCACAGACATGAGTACCTCACCTTGTTCTAACAACCAAAGTCTAATGTTAAAAAATCAAAGCACCGTTATGTGTAGACAATGGAAATCTCTACCATACACGCCAGACACCATAAAAAAGGAGTCAAAGTAGAGAACATGGCAGAAAAAGAAAAATATGGAAAGATAACATCAGATAAACTCTTCCTCAGCACAATGTATCTATGCTCGAGGCAGCCAGAATAGCAAGAAGCAAGACCTTTGACCTCCATCGACACAGGAAGTGGTAAACAAATAAAAAGGAAGTGAAGAAGAGGAATTGAAATCTCACGTCTGCAGGCTGCTTCCTGCTGGCCTCTACAGGTGTAGCCTAGGGCGAGTGAGAGGCCCAAGTTACAGAAGTAAGGTTATGAGCAAGATGGGACAATTATTTGGCTGAGGCCAGTACCAAAGCACCGTGAATCGGCTCTGCATTTATGGAAGCTGGCTGGGTGGCAGGGACTGATCATGTTCTGCCCTTGCCTTCTCTTGAGGGCTGACCAGAAAGCCAGGATGACCATGCAACAGTGAGGGCTGACCAGACAGCCAGGATGACCATGCAACAGTGAGGGCTGACCAGAAAGCCAGGATGACCATGCAACAGTGAGGACTGACCAGACAGCCAGGATGACCATGCAACAGTGAGGGCTGAACAGAAAGCCAGGATGACCATGCAACAGTGAGGACTGACCAGAAAGACAGGATGACCATGCAACAGTGAGGGCTGACCAGAAAGCCAGGATGACCATACAACAGTGAGGGCTGACCAGAAAGACAGGATGACCATACAACAGTGAGGGCTGACTAGAAAGCCAGGATGACCATGCAACAGTGAGGGCTGACCAGAAAGCCAGGATGACCATGCAACAGTGAGGGCTGACCAGAAAGCCAGGATGACCAAGCAACAGTGAGGGCTGACCAAAAAGCCAGGATGACCAAGCAACAGTGAGGGCTGACCAAAAAGCCAGGATGACCAAGCAACAGTGAGGGCTGACCAGAAAGCCAGGATGACCATGCAACAGTGAGGGCTGACCAGAAAGCCAGGATGACCATGCAACAGTGAGGGCTGACCAGAAAGCCAGGATGACCATGCAACAGTGAGGGCTGACCAGAAAGACAGGATGACCATGCAACAGTGAGGGCTGACCAGAAAGCTAGGATGACCAAGCAACAGTGAGGCTGCGAAAGATTTCCCGAAACTAACCAGGAATGCTACAAATGTCTGAAGAAATCTGACATGTCATTCATATATATCGCAGCCATGCTTTAATGGACAAAAACCAGGAAATCAGACCTCCACTATGACCCAGGGTTCGCTGGGAAGACAACATCCAACAGTTCCTGACTGACAGAAGACTAGAATGTAACAATAAAGCAAGTGTGGCAATCTCTCCAGAAAGCTTCTACACCCCAAGAAAGAAGAGGATCGAGTAAGTGAGCAAATAAGCTGTAATTGGGCATACACCACCACATCCTTGGAGGAACAAAGAAGAACAAGAACAAGCTATATGCATGATTATGTCAGACAAACAGAGCCAAACAGTTCCCTCACCTGCAAAGCCACCTTCCTGACCAGGTCCAACTCGCCTTCCAAGGAAGCGTCCAGCAATAAAGCCAAAGGATCGAAGCTGACTCGGTTATTGGATCTCCTGCCACCTTTCTTCAAATTACTCTTTGTCTGTTTGGGTACAGGGTCTGCTGAAGCTGACACTGACGATGATGCTGATCTAGTCCCACCAGCTGGTGATTTGTTGGATTCATTCTTCTGCAGAGAAACAGCAGCTTGTGGACTGGATGTGGACTCTGGTGGCTTCTTATCCACAGAAACTTGTTGTGTATTCTTTACAGTCTTGTCTTTGCCTGTAGGAGGTTTTGATTTGTCCAACGATGGTGAGGAAGGTTCAGTGTCAATTAATGCTTGAGAATCGATGTTTCCTAAAATTTGTTGTTGCTGCTGCAGGCGTTGCTGTTGCTGTTTCTGCTGTAATCGTTGCTGCTGTTCCCTTTCTTGTTGCTCCTGCAGAGCTTTGTTCAAATCTTCATTTTCGCTGTCCGAATGTCGTCTCCGCACTTGTTTTGGAGTGTGCAGTTTGAAACTTCCTATATCAATTAAAACGAATAATGTAATATTAGTTATGGGGAATAATAAAACATCAATTATAGGGAATGGTGTATTATCACTGTAGAGTATTAAAGAACATTTTTATATCATCAGTTATATGGAATATGCATGCTATATAGGGCCAGTTTTAGCATATGGCTGTGAATCCTGGACAATTAATAAACAAGCCAAAATTTCTTGAGGCCCCAGAGATTTGGTTTTACAAAAGAATCCTTAGAATTTCTTAGACAGCCATCAAGAGCATGTGTGGCTATGGGATGACTGTAGGTGATGATAGGAGTATTCGACTAGGACATCGTGACGGACAAGTGAACACTCTAGGATTCACGGAGATTTTACTGACTGACCCCAGGGCAAACGGTAGATCGGACAAAAGGGAAAGCATTTTCAGGGAGTTGGCTGAAACACTTGAACAAGACGGGTTGTGTTTTGATGGTCAGGTTTTTCTGTAATTTATTTAGCTTTGTGACGAGATAGTTCATTGTGTTTAGCTATAGTTGTTTTCACTCAGGTACTTAGCTTTGTCTTAGCGAGGTGGCTCAAAAAGGGCTTTTGTCAGTTTCAGAAGAAGAACATGATGATGCCGTGGGCACTGTATTCAGGTGACTCAGCGCAGTGGTGTGGTCTGTCCGACTACGCCCAATAGAGCCGTGCAGTCAGGCACTGGCCATGTAGCAGCCTGGAGAGGTGCAGGAAAGAGCTTGGATCAGAGGCTGTTGGTTCGAACCTGGTTATTGCCTGGAACAACTGGATGGCCAGTGTGCGAATCACTCCGACTGGTAAGGTTAGGTTTGCATGCCACCTCTGGAGCAAACTGCAAACTGTTTTCTGTAACTTCATTAAAGGCCAAAGTGTATGTTCTGACGGTGTCAAGCCGGGTTGTGATTAGGATTGATGTCACTGTCATAGAGCTACCAATGAGTCGCTGCCATTAAAATAAGAAGGTTTATGACAACCGCCACACACACACACACACCCAAAAAAAAAGAAAAAATCAACCTGGGTGTTTTGAAAGAGGCTGGGGCTCACAGACAACTTATCACAACATATATCAGACAGTTGTTATTATTTGATCCCGTTATAAGAAGAAGAAAACTGAAACATGTGACTACTGGAAAGATCTGTGGAAAGAGAGACAGGAAGGCAACGCAAGATGATTCTTGACAGTCTTTTGGCATGGAGGGGTGTCAGCACACGAATACATTCTGTTCAAGACCGCAGAATGTGGAAAGGCAGGATCAGCCACGACAGATGGACAGGCACTTGATGATGATGATGATAGAGAATTGATAAGCAACAGATAGGGTCTGTTGATCTCTGGCAGCTGAAACTAAGATGTCAGTAAAACAATCTATGGCTGGCAGGTTTCTCATATTTACATAAATTCTGAGCTAATTAATTAATGGATACATTAAGAAGATTAAAAGTGATGACGCATCTAACACTGACCTTTATCCGAGGCAATATCCGGGTAACTGGGTGATGTAACACCAGCCCCAAACTGGGGATCATCCTGTCCAGTAGACAGAGCATCAGCCGGGGACGACTGAGTGAAGGGGGTAACATCTTCGGCAGTGGGCCTGCTTCCTTGTGAATCCACACTTTGGTAGAGCATGTTGAGATTCCTCTGGTACTTGTCCATGGCTGCACTGCCCAACCGGCCCATGTATGTGTTGGCTATTGCATTCTTGGAGGCATATCTGTATGTTAGGGCTGGCTTCTGATTGAGGTGCAGCCCACTGTTTGAGGACAAGGAGGTTGGGTTAGGAGTTGGTACCAATCCTGTGGGATTCACAGATGACGCACTGGCGGAAGAGATGTCTACGGAGTCACTGCCATGGTGAGAGGAATCTGTTTCATCTTGTAAAAGTTGCGGAGGTGAGCCAATCGCCAAACTCTGTGTGTTCAACCGAGAAGCTTCTGACTGACTTCCTGTGGCAGCCATTTTGCCAGGTATTTGTGAGGATGTGTTGCCATTCTGCGATGGAATATGAGACCTCTGGGTAAAATTTGACCGTCTGGGACCGGCCACACTGGCCAGAGGCAGATTGTGTTCATCTGGTCGGCCAACACTTTTATTTAACTTGTCAATCAGAGCAGATACTGGGCCCACGGAGGAAGTGTTTACCTGTGGCAGCAAACAAGAAGATAATTTAACCATTATTATCCGACTATATGACAACAAGAGATTAGTTAAAAACAAATTACGTGGAAGCTGCAAAGATGTGGTTTTATGTCAAATGACCAAGCTTCAGAGATGTAGTTTTAAAGAAGAATGAATTCCTTGGACAGTTGAAACGAGCAGCCCAGATGTTTTGAAAAAAAGTGAGGGCTCATAAACAACATGTCATAAACATCAGAAAAAAAGTCAAAATGTTTTTGGTTATATTATTAGAAGAAGAAACTGGAACATGTTGTCATCAACTAGAAAGATCTGTGGAAAAAGAGACAGACGGAGAAAATGGAAGCAGATTTTTGACATGGCACGGAGGGGTGTCAGCACACAAACTGATACACGCTATTGAAGATGACAGGTTGTGGAGAAGCATGCTCACCAATGCCAGTCAGCAAGGCACCTGATGATGATAAGACATCATGGGCAGATAAATAAGGTAGATAAGTGGGTCACAAAGTTACTAGAGTAGTCCCAGCGTCTGATTTTTCTTGACTACTGAACAAGCTCAATAACGGACAAATGTGCATGAGTGAATGCCCTTTTATATTACAGGACCCTCTACAGATATTATTATCTAGGATAAGTAAGAGTACAAGGCAATGGATGAGTAGATGCACTGGCAGCAAAGGAGCTAGATGTAGGAACAATTGCTGTGAATAAAACAATCAATCATTCTATGGTCTATTTATGTTAAATGTAACAACAAATGGAAGGATGCGTGAATGTGGAATCAAGTGTCAGTCCAACAAGAAGGGACATATGAGAGGAAAATGATGACATGTTTGAGGCGTGTTGCTGCAATGATTAGTATCCACAACGTATGTCATGTGCCGGCTCTGTTGCTAAGTCGATGCGAACACTTCATAATGCCGGGGTGCCGGGTTCGATCCCAGCTGCGTGTCATGCGCCTTGCATTGGTTTCGACTGGTATCAAGAAAGCCAACAGTCCAGAAAGCAATGGCAAACTACTGGATGTAAATTTGCCTAGAAAAACCACACGTTTGGTTGGGGGTTGGTTCTGCAACGTCCTGTAAAGGATACGCAACTAACCTAATGTCATGTGTTGCAGTGTATGATGTTAGGATGCTGTTTCTTGAACATTAAAACTTTCCCAAAACTTACAGACTCATAACTCAGTTTCACTACTTTTCAATGATACATCATTTAATTCACTATCACTGCTGACTCATTCATTCAAGGCTTAAATACCTCATTTTTGACCGGCACTCCGCTGGTAGCACTGGGAGAACTCTCACTACATGCTGGAGAGCTCTGACCACTTCCTGCCTGCCGCTCTTCATCGCTGATGTTGATGCTGGGAAGTGATGATGAAGATGTGGGTGTCTGGAAAAATCTTGGGGCAGAGTTTGAAGCATCGCTATCAGGAAAACCTCCATTTTGGCCACTGCTGTCTCCAGCTCCTCCCAGGGATGTCAAAGACTTCTGCTGTTGTCCAGCGGGGAAAAAATGAGAGCCAAACATAGCAAGACCACTGACTGAATTTGGCGTTTGGCCAGTTTTGGAAATGTTTATATTTTGATTAGGAACACTGTCTGGTAAGATCCCTGTTGATTTACTAGTCCTTGCTGGTGGAGGCGGCTTGTTGGAGTAGCCAAAGCTCTGTCTGGGCAGATTCTGATGCAAACTGGCCGAATTATCCACAGGAAGAACTCCTGGCAACTTGTACTCCTCTATCAGTTCATTCCTATTTGTATCCTGTTGTTTCGTGGAATAATTCTCCCCAGATTTAATATCAGACTGCAATGCTTGGTTTCTCATGTCATGTTTTGCAAATCCACCACTTTCTTTGGCATCTTGAGACTGATGTGGTACTCTTGTTGGAGCAACACCGCCATTTTGGGGATGCTGGCCGTTTAACTTGATTGCCTTGTTACTCTGGGCACTTGATTGCTGCTGCTGTTGCTGTTTTTGCTTCAACTGCTGGTGGAGCTCGTGAATCTTTGCATCCATGGCAGCAATTTTCTCTCGTCGCTCTTTTAACAGTTTTTCCTTGTTGGTGATTGTATTACTTTGTTGTTCATTCAGTTTGTTTCTCATCTGCAACAAGAACAATTCAATGATTTAACAAGACAGTCAACCATCAACCATATTACTGTAAAATGTCAAATAAGCTTTAAATAGTATGAAAAGCCTACAGATCCCCACCTTTAACAGAAGACTTACTGATCATCTCTAATAAATTTCAGACATAACTTGCTGACCAGCTTTATCTTCTTCTTCTCTCCGTCTTCACTCTTTCACCCCTGGAAGCCCCCAAACCAGCACTTCTAATGTGACATGTTTACAAGACATCTAGTTAACACCACTGACTGTGTTTGCTTCTGCACAGCATTTAGAAGATCAGCATACGTATATATTTACTAAAAAGAGCACTTGGTGGGGTTTTTTTTTTTTTTTTTGGGGGGGGGGGGGGGGGGGGGGGTGGGTGGTCTTCTGAACCAAACAGCTTTTTTTAAACCATGTTGACAACACGTTTTCCTACAGCCTCAGTGATAGAGGTCAAGGGGTCAATGCATGAGTCATTAGATACACATTATTAAGGCCCCATGGAATGTATTCTATTTAGAGCTTCCCTATGATCATGTTAACTGATTACTCCCTTGACGTATCTTTGCACATAAATTTTCTTTTTATTTGTGCGGATAAATATATTTTTTTATCTGTTTTAATGACCTGCGCGGAATAGTTGTTTTTTTAAGGATTTTTTTTTGGGGGGGGGGGGGGGGGGGGTAGTCTCAAAATTCCCACAGGTTGATTACTCTTTTAAAAAAAAAATTTTGCATTTTTGGGGCAACAGAGTTAAAAGGGCTGTTGGCACATTATATTGTGGTTTACAGTAAGGCTGTGATATCTGTGTCTTTCGGTCCAACAGCTGATTTCAGCAATCCAATCAGTCACCATTTATGCCATGCTTTTGAGGGGGAAATAAGATATCATTTATTTTACTTTTAATTGCATCGCAACTGGGGCCCTGGGACCCGAGGTGGAGAGAGAATCAATACCATCAAGTGCCAGAGAGATTCCCTCCATCACACAGCCAACTCTGTCACCATTATTTGTCTTCATTTCACACAATTATCTCGCCACTAATTTCCTCCATTTCACACAATTATCTCACCATTAATTTTCCTCCATTTCACACAATTATCTCACCATTAATTTCCTCCATTTCACACAATTATCTCACCACTAAATTCTCCCATTTCACACAATTATCTCACCATTTATTTCCTCCATTTCACACAATTATCTCACCATTAATTTCCTCCATTTCACACAATTATCTCACCATTAATTCCTTTCGCAGTTTATCCACCTCAGAATTCAGAGTTGCCTGCTTGTTGCTGTACATGCCACTGTTGGAGCCATTCTTCAAATCCTTGAGTTGCCTGGTCAACTGGTCAACCTTGGCCACAGCCATGGCCAACTCCTTCTCTTTCTCACTGAACACCGTCTTCACAGCCTCTAGCTCATTGGCTGTGGACAGGACAGAGTAGATTATATAATACAACATTTGATATTTTTATGTTCTGCATTAAAAGTCAGTTGCACTTTCTTTACGGGACACTGCAAACCAGTTCTGAATCTGCTGGCTGTTTGTAGTTCTACTATTATTCTTCTCCTCCTCCTTCTTCTTTTGCTGCTGCTTCTTTTATTTCTTCCCCGCCTTCTTCTGTTTCTTAGCATTCACTTGCTGTTAACTCCAGAGGAACTGTTAACTCCAGTGGAACTGTTAACTCCAGAGGAACTGTTAACTCCAGTGGAACTGTTAACTCCAGAGGAACTGTTAACTCCAGAGGAACTGTTAACTCCAGAGGAACTGTTAACTCCAGTGGAACTGTTAACTCCAGTGTAACTGTTAACTCCAGTGTGCCCACTTCTGCACTTTGACCATGCTGTAGAACTTGAGTTTTGCATGCACATCCGGTCTACAAATATCTTCAGCATCAGAGGAAGATGAAATTCAAAACTGTTATGACAGTTAGAGACATTAGAAAGGGTAGAAAAAAGAGATATTATAATCATCATGGGAGATTTTAATGCAAAAATTGGCCGAGGTAGAATAGAGGAAGAGTAAATAGTCAGAGGCCCATTCAGCATAGGAGACAGAAACGAGAGTGGGGAGAGACTGATCGCATTCTGTATAGAAAAGAATATGTGTATTTCCAACACACTTTTAAACAACACCCAAGAAGGCTCTACATCTGGACATCACCGGATGGAAATAGCAGGAACCAAATTGATTACATTTTATACAACAAAAATGGAGGACATGTATAACATCTGCAAAGACACTCCCTGGAGCTGATTGTGACACTGATCACAAACTTCTTGTTGCAGAGTTTAAAATAAAACTGAAAAAAGTGTTGAAAGCCAATACGTTTTGATTTGAGTAATTTGCCAAATGATTTCAGCATTGAGACTGAACACAAATTTGAGGCACTAATGGCAGTGCAGGAAGATATGACACCTGATGAGTTGGCTGATGAAACAAGAAACATCATCATCACAACAGCTCAGAACATGATTCCTAAAAAACCACACAAGAAACAGATTTACATTACAGAAAAAACTTTCAAGCTGATAGAAGAAAGAAGAAATCTAAAGCAAGTAGGGACAGAAAAAAATAGCCATGCATATAGGAACAACACGAAAGAAATCAGAAGAGCTATCAGAGGAGATAAAAAAAACAGTTTATTTTAAATACCTGTAATAGAATTGAACAACTCCAGATTCAGGGAAGAGACAGAGACATGTTTAAACAAATTAAAACATTGAAATGCGAATTCAGGCCTTCTTTTCATGCAATAAGTGATAAAAACGGTAACACATTAACGGAAACCAAAGACATATTAGAAAGATGGAAAGAATACTGTAGAGAAATGTATGAGGATGTGACAGGTAATTCAAAAACGACTTGTGAAAGTTATGAAAAAGAACCAGAGCCTTTACTGGATGAGGTATGATCAGCAATACCCAGCCTGAAGAAAGGAAAGTCACCAGGTTGCGACGAAATACCAGCAGAACTAATTCAAGCAGGAGGAGAGGCCAGCGTCCGAATCTACCATGCACTGTGCTCCAAGATCTGGAACAGTGGCATTTGGCCTAAAGAATGGAAAACAACAATCTATATCCCTCTCTCAAAGAAAGGAAATCCAAAACTATGCTCCAACTACCGTACCATCGCATTAATAAGTCATGCTAGCAAAATCCTCTTACGAATTATCATGAAAAGGATTGAAAAGAAATTACAATATGAACTAGATGAAGCACAAGCGGGTTTCAGACAGGGTAGAGGAACTAGGGATCACATATTTAATATGAGAATAATTTTTGAAAAATGCAGAGAATACAATATAGATCTTCATGCTTGTTTTATTGATTATAGCAAGGCATTTGATTGTGTCCAGCACCACAAACTGTGGACTATTATGAAAAGTATGGGGTTTCCAGCGCATTTAGTGCATTTAATTGAAAATCTCTATCATGCACAACAAGCAGCCATCAGAGCAGCTGGTGAAACATCTGATTGGTTCGAGGTGCAAAAGGGGGTGA